AAAGTTATGAAAAGACACTCAACTTTATTAGTAATCAGGGAAAAGCAAACAAAACCCACATTTAATATGCCAGATGGTACCAGATGCTATCAAGGATGTGAAGCAAGGAGGATGCTGGTGGAAGTGTAAATTGATGCAAATATTTTGGCAACAGTAACATTTCCAAGTAAATTTGGAGATGTGTGTACCTGGTGACAAAGATTCCATTCATTGGTATATGCCCTAGAGACTGTATGTGCCTTTGTGCACGTGTAATAAGAGATACGTTACAAGAATGTTCAGTGTAGCTTTCCTTACACTACTAAGAAAAATAGAAACATTCAAATATTCATCAATAGTGGAATGGATAAATAAACTGCAGTAAATTCACATAACAAAATATTATACAGGTTCATACAACAGATGAGTCAATCCAGTGATGATTTTCAAAAGACTTAAAAACGGGGCACTACAGACACTGACCAAACAGAATGGACACCAAATAAAAACTGGTAGAGCCATGCAAATGCACAGCAGCTGAGTACAACAATGTCTGAATCTAAAACATATAATGCAGACTAAAAGAAAAGTCATCAAAGAAAACACATGCTATGATTCCAAAACCAAATAAACTGATTAGAAATAGATGCATATGTGGCAAAACTGTAAAGAAAAGAGTGTGATTAATAAGAAATCAAGATAGTGGTACCCTATAGGGATGGGAGGAATAGTGTAATCAGAAAGGAGGAACAGGAATCTTCTAAAGTACTGGCTCTAGTCCATTTCTTAATCTGGAAGTTAAACACATTTACCTTTAAATAATACTCATTTTACACATTCTATTGTACATACATTTCAAATTTTAAAATTAAGAACATAAGCCCTGGCTGGTGTGGCTCAGTGGATTGACTGCCAGCCTGTGAACTGAAAGATTCCCAGTTTGATTCCCAGTCAAGGCACATGCTTGGGCTGCAGGCCAGGTCCATGATTGGGGGTGTGGGAGGCAACCAATTGATTGATGACTTTCTCACATTAGTTTCTCTCCCTCTCTTTCTCCCTCCCTTCCCCCTCTCAAAAAATAAATAAAATCCTTTAAAAAATAAAAACAAAATAAATAAAATCTTAAGAAATGAATATTAAGGCACTGACAGAATCACAGAGGCTGGAGAAACAGCCTCTGATCTCTGCAAGGAGCAAGGTTGGAAACCATACCAAAACAAAGTCTGGTGAGCATCACACTACAGCTTGCAGCAACACCTTTTATGCCTGGGACCTTGATCATCCTATACTCTATTGTTGGGTAAGAATCCTCTTCCAGTCCTGAGTTTTATATCTTCACTCCTGAGTCCATATCTATTACAGATTCATCTAACAGAGTCCAAGCCACTTGCCCTCAATCTAGCTGCAAGTGAGGCTGGAAAAGCTGGTAACTAGCATTTGGGTTCTTTTAATCGGACACCTACTATAGCCCATTCTAGACAATAGGGATACAACAGGGATCAAAATCCCTTCATACAACAGAAATAAACACCCCAAGACTCACTCAGTGGGAGATACTACAAATATAGGAGGGAGGTTCAAATATTGGGCATCTAAAAAGAATAAATGGCTTCCACATGACACAGATCGTTTATGTGACCACCTATGAATATATAAAGTGGAACTATTAGGTTAAAGAGAATACACACTCAAGGCTTTTGCTACATCTTGCTAAATTTCTCCTCAAAAAGGCTACACAAATTTATACTCCCTTTAGTAGTATATGATTAATTCATTTCCCCATGCTCATCTCAAAAATTTTTTAATATTTGCAAATTAAAGAAGAAAAAAATCTTTGTTATTTTCAACTATGTTTCTTTGATTCATATTATATTTGTATTCCTTTCATAAATTGTGCATACTCATTGCTTACTTTTCAAGGGAGATAGTAATCTGTATTTTCACTGGAACTTTACCTATCATATTTGTTGCAAATACTCTCCCTAGCTTGTCATTTGCCTTCTCACTTTATAGTGAGTTAGTGCATTCAAAAGTTACTATTTAAAAAGTACAGTATAATTTTTTTAAGTGTGACCTACCATTTTTCTTTTATAGTTTTTCCCAATTCAGTTTTTCTTTCCCCAACTCAAGGTTTTTACAAGAGTCACATCTTTTTTTCTGGTTTAGTATAGCTTAATTTCTCTACGTTTAATTCTTCAGTCCTAAGGCTCTATCACTTTCCCCCAGCTATTCCTGGACCATCTGTTGAATAAGTGATTGTTTTTCCAGATTTGAACTGCTACCTTTTAAATACAGACTAGTCTGTATGCTTGGCTGCCTATGTAACTTTGTTTCCATTCCCTAACGATCTCTCAACTTGCATCAGGACCAATGATTTAATTATTATAGTATTGTGATGTTTTAATATCTGGCATTGTAACCCTTCCACTTTCATTCTTTTCAAATATTTCCTGAATTGATCCATGTTGCCTTTAAGTCCATATCCAAAATAGGAATATGTATGGAAGCATATTTATGCAGATATTTACTGTAAGAAAAAGTTTAGAGCAAAAGGAATTAATGTCAATTATATTGTGGAAATAAAACTGTTCGCATGATTAAGCTGTAAGAGGAAAGCATGTCATCTGCAAACATGCTAAAACACTGCTTTTTTTTTTTCCCTCCCACATTTGGGGAAACCACTCACGATTTTTTAAATGTTCCCATTTTTAAATGTAGCACCACTAAAGTTTGTATGAATTTCAATAATGTGGAAAGAATATGGAGAACCAAGAGAAAACTATATTCTGACACCAATTAAAACTTACTTTTTCCAACATTGCCACTCTTATCTTTAAAGGTAGGGCTATTCTCAGATACAATGTCCTATAGAATATGTTTGACAATAGAATAAGTAATTTAGCCATTCAAAAATTTTAGGATATATGTTTGTCAATTTTAATATGAAAAATTGTGATTGGAACACACAACCAGGGTAAAAAAAAAAAATACCCTGATCAGTATTCTGATCAATATTCTTAACTACTGACTACTGGTTTTGGTTACTTTCAGATTCCAGGGCCTTTTAGCTATCTCCTGTTCAAAAGGATCTGAATAAAACAATTGCTGGAAGAATTCTTTTCCCCATGATATGTCACATCTTCTTTTTTGCCTCCCACTCCCTTTCCTTTCACTTATGCCTTAGACATATTTTAACTGCTGAGAGTCACTGGAATTTAAAAAGTAATAGTCTCAGACTAAATCTGTGTGGTACTTTCCAGGGTGGTTCTTACAGCACACTGTTCACTGGATCATTAAGTAGTAGGAAAAGAAGCATTTTTATTCACTGACTGACACCAAAAGACCTGGAATCTTATCAATTATATATTTTTCAAGATTAAAATGAGATATAAAAAATTCAGACATTTCACTTATGGGTGTAAAAGAAATCTATATTGTCACTAGATATAAGATTATACAAACTATTATTTTAAGTGAAAACTCTTCCACTTAACTTTTACAGTATTAAGAATCAAAATAGCAGATGAAGATTGACACCTCTTTATCTTCAAATAGCAGAGCTCAAAAACAATCAAAACACTTCATTGCATAAAACATTCATGTCTAGACTACTTTCTCATCAAGAACAAATGGTGGAAATATTAGACATTAAGAAAGCATAGTCACCTAATTTATGTTCACTAATCATAGAAAACAAATAGCCTTTGGGAATCCAATATATCTTGTTGGAATTTGCTACCCTTGAAGTCAAATGGCCATTCAAGTTATTAATTCTCATTGATTCATCGTTATTATTTCTAAATGGAATATTACTTACTTTATAAGGTATGGTTAAAATTACATGAGATTAGGGATATGAGAGTTCCTAGGACATACCAAATATAGTAGTCACTCAAAGGTTAGTTCTAATTTTCTTACCCTGATACTGCATCAATGTAAAAATAAACACTCAAAAAACCCCAGCAAAAACCAACTTGGATTTGAGAATCATTTAACATAGATAGTATGTACTTTATTTCAGTGAGTGATTCAGTCACATCTGTCACATGAGAGTATCCAGACAGTCATTAAATGTAGGTTCTACTTCCAGTAGAACTTCCAAATGGCTCGCTCTAAAAATCATCATCATCATCATCATCATCATCATCATCATCTGTAAAGGAAAGGGCTGGTGGATGTTTCTGAACTGTTTTCCAGCTTTAGAATCATTGATTCTATAACCCGATGACTACAGAAAAAAATATATATATATATATATATTCAACCCTTCGTTGTAATGAGAAACTTTAAGCGTATTTTTCAGTACATTGTCGCTAATATGAATGAGCCTACTTTGAGATTTGGAAAAAAATTCGTAATTAGCCATTTGTCAACAGTGAAATTTCCAAGTAAATTTGAAGATGGGTGTACCAAGTGATCCACTATTCCATTCCTTACTGTGTGTGGGTGTACACACAGACACATACACATACACAAACACAGTCCCTAGAGAGGATATATGTCCTTGGTAAAGGAATGACACTAAAAATTGCTTAGGAATATTTAAATGCTTCGGTGATTTCCAATTTTCTTGAATTTCCAATTGCGCCGTGGCGGTAAAGAAAAATATTTACAAAATAACGTAGCACGGCGTCCTCAGTGTCCTTTGGAGCCTCCGCAAGCATTTAAAGATCATTAATCGCGCAGTAACGATTTCGTGGTGGGCCAACCCGGGTTACTGGACAGCAGAGCGGGAGGGGACGCCTGGGAATGGGAAGAGCCCCGGAACCGGGTTGGGAGGCTTTCACAGCAGAAGCCGCGCGGGGTGGCGTCAAGCCCGGGCGCCGCCAGCGGAGCCGCCCGCGGCGGAGGGCGGGCGGTGGCCGGCAGGCGCGGGGGGCGCGCCGGGCCCGGGCCGCCAACCCCCCACCACCCGCGCCGGCCTAAGGGCCGAGTGGGGGCGGGCGCTCGGCGTCGGCGCGGGCCGAGAGGCCGGGCGGGCTCCCGGCGCGAGTCCGCCCCGCCCCGCCTCTTCCCCTTACCACGTAGCCCCCCCACACGTAGAGGCAGTTTCCGTCCACCACGGCGCAGTGGCCGCTGCGCTCCTCCGCCACGCAAAACACCTGCGAGTCCTCCATCCGCGCCGTCGCGGGCCCCGCCGCTCTGCGCGCCGCGGCCCTTGCCCACGGAGATGCCTCTCCTCCCGCCCGGCTCCTCCACGCACGAACGGAACGCGTCGAGGGTCGAGATTGGAGGAAGGCGGAAGCAGTGCGTCTGCGCCGCCCGCAGCCGCGGGAGAGGCCGAGCCTGGGCGGCGGCGCCAGGGAGGGACGCTTGGGGCCTGAGCGGCGAGGGAGGTTCCTGGGCTCTGCGGAGCCCTGCCACAGGCTGGTGCCTCGTCGCTGGGGGTTGTGTTATTTTGTTAGTAGAGCCTAACTGTATCTTATTCGCTGGATAAATGGGCTTCTGGACCATGGGGGCTGATGTAGCTGTGAAATAAGTCGGCGTTATTTAATAAATACTTTGTGTTTACCTGTTCCACTCAACCTCAAGCAGAGATGGCAGTCCACAAGGATGGTGTGTGTGCGAGTCCTGGCCGCCTAGCTCAGGTGGTTAAACCATTGTGCAAGGTGTCAGCTTCCATCTCTTGTCAGGGCATATGCAAGAAGCAGCCAATGAATGCATGAATAAGTGGAACAGCAAATCAGTGTTTCTCTCTCCCTCTCTCTATCTCAAGTCAATAAATTAAATTAAATTAAATTAAATTAAAAAATAAAAGTGTGCGTGTACTTAATAGATTTCTTTTAAAAGGAATTTTCTGAAACATACCAGCAAACTAGGCCTGCAAGTCAAATCCTGTTCACCTAATTTTGTAGGGCTCACAAAGCCTAGAACGTTTTAAATATTTGAATGATTTTAAAAAATCAAAAGAATGCTATTTTGTAGCTCATGAAAATGATATGAATTCAAATTTTAGCATCTGTACATAAAGTTTTATTGTCACACAGCCACCCTAATTCTCATCTGTATTATCCATGGCTGCTTTTACACCACAACCTCCGGGTTGAGTAGGCAGAGTAGAGGAATTGCAAAAAAAAATCATACTGCCCACACTGCTGAAAACAGTTACTCTCTGGCCCCGCACAAAAAGTTGGCTAACCCTTGTTAAAAAAAATGTTACTGAAGTAAAACAGGCCAGGGAGGAAGATCATATTTCTACCACTGCCTATAAATGCACTTGTCCAAAGCCACTCTTGGAAGAGATTGTGGCTGTCTACCACTCAGAAAAAGTTAATTCTTTCACTTACTATGCATTTATTAAGTGCCTGCTTGCTATAGATAGTTGGTGCTGTTGCTGTATTAGGCTGAACTACTTGTTGACTAAATGAATGGGGAAGAAGTGAATTTTAAGATGCATAAGACATAGTTCTACTACAGGGGCTTACAGTTCTACTACAGAGGCTTCAAAGTCCAGTCAGAGGGAAAGATAAAGAAATTCATGCTGTGTGGGATGAGAAGTATAATAGAAAAGTGGACAAAATACAGCAGAATAACAGGAAAGTTGTGATCTATTGGGGAAGGAGGTTCACAAAGGGAGAAACTTGAGTTTCTTGGCAAACTGTACAAATAGTTCAGTATGACCACAGAATGACTGTGGGATGCAGCCACTTAGGGAGCTGGAATAGGCAATCATGCAGCCTTGTTTGTCATCCTGAGTCTGAACTTTAACTGTAAGGCCAAAGGATCTTAAGCAGGGACTGAATAATGTAACTTGATTGTTAGAACATTCACTTTGCATAGTTGGGCAGTCAGGACTGAAGGCAGAAAGGTGGATAGCACATAGCACTGTTCTGGTGTAAGCACTCAGGTAGGTGCTCAGTAAATGGTAGTAGCAGTGGTAGTAGTCATTGTTGTTATTAATATAGGTAACTTATGTCCCAGCAATCCCCTTTTCACCTGCAGGGGAATTCCAAAGCCCTCACCAAGATTTTTGTGAATTCTTAGAAGGCTTATAATCTTATAGTCCCCTTTGGTGTTAAACTCCTACTGCTACCGGAATAATTCCACTTACAGATTTATGGATATTCTCCCCATGAAGGATGCTTATTCTCCTCTCTGGTGCATTACCCCAGACATGAAACTCACAAGGTGCCCAACTCAGATTTGGGAGAGTCAGGGAATGTTCCCAAAAGAAAGTAAAGTCTAAGCTAAGAACTGAAAGATGAGTGGAAGTTGTTTAGGCAAACAGGTGAAGAGGAAGGAAAGTGTTCCTGGCAGATGGAACAGGAGAGAAAGATAAGTTGTTCACTTTATCCTAATACAAGGAGATTTGGAACATTTTCCCTAGTGAAGTGACATAATAAGAATTATGTTTTGGAAAGTTTATTCTGATGGCAAAATTGGTGTCCTAGTAAGGGCCCCAGTCATGGAGAAAGATGTATTTAGATTTGAGAGATACTTAACAGTAATTTCCTTAAACTAGAAGTTAGATCAAGATTTAATTAAATTGAGATTAAATCTGGGGCAAGAATACTTCAGAAGTGATGTTGTGTATGTTATATTGCATTATAACAGTAATAATGTCAACCCACTATTTGTGATGCAAGTTTGATGCTTGGTTAGGGTGGTAACCTACAAAGTTTGGTTTTAAAAGCAAGTTTTGCCTGTGTATTATTAGCCAGTAGTCTGTAGGATGACAATGAGGACCATGTAAATATCCTGTTTCCTTTTACTTAAGTGTTTTAGCATTTTGTATTCTTATTCCTTCCACTTTTTTGCCCGTAATAACCATTTTTTTCTCCTTTATCCTTCAGGTGTTTAAGCAGATACAGATTCATTATTTTTGCATTCTATACTTGCAAGTTCACCTATTTACTAAAATTTACTTATAACACCCAAATCAATATTGGAGGCTTTCACAATCATTTGTGAACATTTGCAGAACACTGAAAAATTTGCTGCCCATCACACATGTTCCCAGGTGAATTTGAACAACGTGACATTCTGCTTTCTCATTCATCTCATATTATTTTTAAAAACTGTCTTTTTTGAGGTACATTTAGTGCCACAGTATCCACATTTTGTGATTTCTTTTAGTGATTGTGATGTTTAAAATGGACTCCAAGCATAGTGCTGATGTGCTGTCTAGTGTTCCAAGACATAGGAAAGGTGTGATGTGACTTAGGGAGAAAATAGATGTGTTAGATAAGCTTCCTTCAGGTACAAATTCCTTCCTGTAGTGCTGTGGTCCCTAAGTTCAATGTTCATGAATCAGTAATATATATTAAAGATGTCTTTAAACATAACCACATGTAAAACTAGGTTATGTATTGATCAGCTGATGAAAATGTTGTGGGAAGAGGCTCCTAGGAACCTAGGAACAATGATTGAGTATTCATAGTCAATGTTGAGGATGGCTATATAGAACAAAGCTACCTGAAATAATGAGAATTGACTCTAAGTTTATCTATTTTTAATACTACTTTGCAATTTATTATTGTGGCATATTTCTACATTACATAGTTTACTTACCTTTTTCAGTTTCATATATACATTTTTTATTTTTACATTTTTTTAATTATATTTACTTGATTATGCTATTACAGTTGTCCCAATTTTTCCCCCTTTGCCTGCCTCCACCTAGCACCTCCCACTCCCTCAGGCAATCCCCACACCCTTGTTCTTCTCCATGAGTCATGCATATAAGCTTTTTGGCTAGTCCATTTCCTATACTGTTCTTTACATCCCCATGACTATTCTGTAACTATCTAATTTGTACTTCTTAATCCTCTCACCTCTTCATCCATTCCCCAGCACCCTCCTCCCATCTGGCAACCTTGAACACGCTCTCCATATTCATGATACTGTCTCTGTTCTTATTTGCTTAGTTTGGTTTTTTAGATCCAATTGTTGATAAGATATGTATTTTTTTGCCATTTTAGTGTTCATAGTTGTGATCTTCTTTTTCTTAAGTAAGTCCTGTTAACATTTCATATAGTAATGGTGTGTTGATGATGAACTCCTTTAGTTTTTTCTTATCTGGGAAGTGCTATCTGCCCTTTGATTCTAAATGACGGCTTTGCTGGGTAGAGCAATCTTGAATGTAGGCCCCTGCTTTTTATGACTTTGAATACTTCTTTCTAGGCCCTTTTTGCCTGTAAGATTTCTTTTGAGGAATCAGCTGACAGTCTTATGGGAACTCCTTTGCAGGTAACTCTCTCCTTTTCTCTTGCTGCTTTTAAGATTCTTTCCTCACCTTTAACCTTTGGCATTTTAATTATGATGTGTCTTGGAGTGAGCCTCTTTGCAGCCATCTTGTTTGGAACTATGAGCTTCCTGGACTTGCATGTCTATTTCCTTCACCAGATTAGGGAAGTTTTCTTTCATTATTTTTTCAAATAGATTTCCAATTCCTTGCTCTTTCTCTTCTTTCTGGCATACCTGTGACGCAAATATTGGACCTCTTGAAGTTGTCCAAGAGGGTACTTACACTATACACATTTTTTTTTATTCCTTTTTCTTCTTGTTTTCCTGATTGGATATTTTGCTTCCTTGTGTTCCAAATCATTGATTTGATTGTTGGTTTCATCCACTCCATAGTTTCCCCCTATAAATTGTTCTTTATTTCAATTAGTATATCCGTTGTTTCTGACTGGATCTTTTTTATGCGGTTGAGGTCCTCACTAAGTTACCTGAGCATCCTTATAACCAGTGTTTTGAACTCTGCATCTGACAGATTGCTTATCTCCATTTTGTTTAGTTCTTTTTCTAGAGTTTTGAGCTGTTCTTTCATTTGGGCCATATTTCATTGTCTCCTCATTTTGGCAACCTCCCTATGTTTGTTTCTATGTATTAGGTAGAGTTGCTTTGACTCCGTGTCTTGCTAGTATGGCCTAATTTAGCAGGTGTCCTGTAGAGTCTAGGGGCACAGGCTCTCCTGTCATCCAGGCTGGGTACTCGAAGTGCCCCCTTTATGTGGACTGAGTACACCCTCCTCTTATAATTGAGCCTTGGTTGCTCTTGGCAGATCAATGGGAGGGATTTACCCCGGCCAGTCAGCTGCAAGGACTGGCTGTGGCCACTGACTACCAACCTCTGCCTTCCATGGAGGATCAGCTGTGCAGGGACAGGGTGGTGGTGTTCCGACATGGTCTGCAGCTGCTCACTGGGTGTGCAGGCTCTGGGGTTTCCCAGGTGGTGGAGACCAAGATCAACCCCCACCTGTGTTTTTGCCTGACGCCACCCTGCCTGAGCTATGAAGCAGTCTGAAATGGCTGCTACTTGTGCTGGGCTTAGAGATTCCCAGGTGAAGCCAAGCTGTGATGCAAGGCTGACTGCTGGGCCTGGGGCCACTTAGCAAGAGGTATAGGGGCTAGGGGCACACTGACAGCTGCTGTTGCCTGTGAGAAAGGATTTAGGAGGTTGTGAAAGGATTTAGGAAATTGTGAAGCATGAGCCAAAACCAGCCGTTCATATTGAAAAACCACTGTTACCAGCTGTAAGTTTGGTGCGGGGAATCTCTAAACAGTATTAGCCAGGTTGATGGAGTCTCAATATGGCACCAACCTGATGGCTCTATGGCTCTATGGGAGGAGGTTTCAGAAAAAGGACAATGGCCTGTGCCCACCTTTCTGTCTGGGAGAAAGCTGTCCTCCAGCTCTCATCTTGATGCCAGACACTTCAGTTCTTCCCTGTATGTCATTGGTGCCTTTCAAGCTGCTACCCCAGGGCTGGAGCTCATAAGTGTTGAGTGTAAGTCTGTTTGTGGGTTCTTTAAGAGGAACTCATTGGGACTCCTGAAGTTTCTTCCACTGACTCAATACCTGCTGGTTTTTGCATCCAGAAGTTATGGAGACTTATCTCCCTGGCACTGGAACCCTGGGCTTGGGGACCTGGTGTGGGGCTGAGACTCCTCATTCCTGAGATATCCCTCCCAAAGTTTTGTCCACCATATGTGGATGTGGGACCACCCTGGTCCACACCTGCACCCCTCCTCCCAGTCTGGATGGATGTGGTTTCTTTAATTCTGTAGTTGTCAGACTTCCATTCAACTTAATTTCTGATGATCCCGAGTGATGGTAGTTCTCCAATTTAGTTGTAATTTTGATGTGGTTGTGTGAGGAGGTAAGCTGTGTTTACCTATGCTGCCATCTGGGCTGGAAGTTTATCTATTTTTATTTTCTCTCATTTCTTCAAACCAGAAAAGCTGGCATTCATGCTGAGGCAAGAGATAGGAAGGAGGAAGCTCCAGAGGTGCCCCAGGGCTAAGATAAAGGACATTGATACTAGACAGAGACTCTGTTCTAAGACTCGTTGTTCCCACTTTCTGGAAAAGTGCTGAATCATGGTGAATCATGATTGTACTTGCACAGAAGATGTTATATGACCCCTGCTTCATTATAATAGCATTCTAATAAATTAGCATTGTGGGACCCCCGCCACCCCCATGTCCAATCAAGGAAAATCACGGAAGACCACATGCGCAGTAACTTTAAAGTAGTATAACTACTTGTACATGTTCAATAAAACCCTGCTAAAACTAGCCAGGAAATACCTGCTCTATAAGAATAGAATCCCTCCAGCCACTGAGGTCAATCTCTGCTTGGGGTTAGCCAGCTCCCATGTTCTGTGGAGTGTACGATCACTTAATAAATCTGCTCACTCTCTTTCTGCTATAAACTCTGTGTGTTCCGTTCAGTTCTTTGTTTGTGATAACAGTGCTGCCTGTCACCTACCAGACCCAATAAGTAGATACAGGGATTGAATCTTTATGGGTGCTTTATTCAGATGGTCGGCAGTCTGAGAAGATGGCGGGTTTGTACACTAACAGACTGTCTTAAATTCCATTTTCAACCGGCCCTTATAAGGAGAAGAAAAGTGCAGGTAAAGGGCTTAGAATTCAGGGAAAAAGTTGATCAGATTAAAAGCTGCAGCATTCTTTCTCTGTGTCCTGAGCAGTGGTTGTCTCTCCCTGGAGCACAATGTCTCAGATACCATCTTGACAGCTTGCAGTCCTCCTAAGGCACAAAGGTGGAACTGCTTATGGTCTCCTGGAGTCAAGCTGGATCGTACCTTCAGTTCCTGAAACAATAGCTTTTTAGATACTTTGATTACTAGGCTTATTAGTTATTTAAAAGTTTTCCAACATTTGAGCTCCCCACCATTCTTACATAAACATTCAAATTTTTTGTTTTTTTTGTCTTTATAATATATATCACTGAAAATATACACAAAACTGAGTCAAAAATCACTTTTCTCTTTGATACTATGTTACCAATCTAATATACAGTTAGGTATTTTGGTTTGATGTATGCTTTCAATTTTGTTTACTTTTTTCATGTATATTTTTTGAACATATTTAACATCATTAAATCATGGGTTGACTGTTAAACCTCTCACTACAAAAAAAAGTTCTCACTGCCATCCTTATCCATTTCTGCCTTTTATGGTTAATCATGTGTTTAGTGTCTAGTGTTTGTTTTTTTTAAATTTTCCGGAGGTTTTCTTTTTCCTAAAGCATCACTCTAGGATATATTTATTGATTAGAGAGATGGGGAGAGACAGACAGACAGACAGACAGAGAAACATGAATGTGAGAGGGAAATAGCGATCAGTTGCCTCTGGAGACGTCCCACCTGGGATCCAACCTGAAACCTAGTATGTGCCCTGACTAGGAATAAACCTGTGACCTTTCGGTCCATAGGATGACGCCCCAACCAACCCAGCCACACTAGCACATTGGCCAGGGCCAGGGCGTTTTTGTTTTTTTTTTGTTTTTGTTTTTTTAAATGTGAAAATAAGTATATGCATACACACACACACCTCCCCCTCCTTTACCATATTTTGCTTTTTTTTTTTTTTAAGTTAACCATATACCCTGGAAGTTAAGGTACAACAGTACTTCATAATTGTTCTCATGTTTTACAAGGCTACGTGCTCACCTATAAGCATTGCATGGTTTTATTTAACTCATTGGAGAAAGCCTTTTGAAGAATGCCAGATTAACAGTCTGCTTGCTGGAATCAGATTGAGTTTAAATCCTAGCTCCACAACTTTCTGAAACTTTCATTTTGAGCCATCCATCTACCTACTTTGTGTCTGTTTTCTCATCTGTAAAGTTAGGATGTTGAAAAGTAGCACACGACTCACTAAAATTTAAGAGGAAATCCTCAACTTTGAAATAGAAAGTGGGGGGGGGGGCGGAATGACAGTGATTTTTAGTAATTTCGAGGGAGTGTTAGGGACAACTAAGTGGCGACACAAAGTACTTCCAGGACCTTGTGAAACAGAAAGCAGGAGCACTCGGGGACACCCGGTTCGGGGTTAGTTCGACCGGAGTCACGGACTGTCGAGGCCAGCGGGGAGAGTGGCTCAGTGCTGCACCTGGGGTAAGGTAAGCACATTTCCAACTAGACACAGGGAAGGACATTCTCGTCCTTCAGTCTAGGGCAAAAAAGGAGTTCAGGGTCCTGTCCTCCTTCCGTCTACATTGTTTGGGACAGCAGCCGCCACGCACGAGGAGCCGCGGTGCTCCGCGCCGCGGAAGCAGGGTGTACCCGGCTCGAGTCGCAGGCGGTCCGTGGCAGGAGCGGGGCTCCCCCTGGAAGGGGCGGGGCCGCGGCGGTGGCGCCAAAACGCTAACATGGCGCCGGAGCGGTTGAGGAGCCGCGCGCTCTCTGCCTTCAAGCTGCGCGGCTTGCTGCTCCGTGGGTGAGTGCGATGGGCAGCTTGCGGCACGCGAGGGGACAGCCAGGGCCAAGCTACCGCGCGGGGCGGCGGCAGTCTCCGTGCACTAGGCGGGGTTTGACCTTAAAAAGCTCTGAGAGGCTAAGTGCTTTGGGCGCGGTGATCAGGCTGAGATGCCTTGGATTTCTCCAACGTTGGCACTGAGCCGGAAAGCTTCTCCTAGGCGGGACGAGCTCCCCTCCCTCCCCTCCTGCAAGTGCCAAACTGAGCCGGAGAACTGGCGGTCTGTGTGGCAGGAGTAGTTTATTAGCACTGTGCCTTTGGCACCAAACAGCCCATAAAGCCTTTGCCTCCGCTAAATGGGAGCAGCGCTACGGACCGTAGTCACTGAGACATCAAATGAGAGACCCGGGAAAGACTTACATTGTTGCAGAAATTGTAGGCCCTGCCAACCTTCCCAATTTTGTATCAGGTATTCTGGGGAGCGTTCTTGGAGAGTTAAAAAGTGAGTAGGTTTGATGCATGTTCCTAGGTCTTCTCCTGAGTCATTTCTTTTTCTTCTATTTTTTTTTCTTTTCCGTCCTTCCTCTTCCTTCCTTCCTTCCTTCCTCCTACCCTCTCGTTCCTCTCTCCCTCCCTTCCTTTCTTCCTTCCTTGATTGCCTTTAGAACTTCTCTGATAGGTTTCCTGGCCATATCTGTGTTTTCTAGGACCAACAGAATGAACTTTTCCAAGATTTTTCTTATTAAATCTGCTTTAAAAAATACATTATTTACATCTTTGAATACTTTTCAGATGGGATATACTTTTCTGTACCAGGTTTTCATTACTCTTGTGTGTGAAGAGGTTTTTCTGTTTGTTTGTTTGTTTGTTTGTTTGTTTTTGTAATGATAAGTTTTATGGTACTTTCAGCTCTGCCTTTGGTTAGTAGTGGTGAACAAGGCCAAGAGTGGGACAAAATAAGGAATTTTATTCACTTGATCCCTGACATTTTGAAAATATGAGCAATTGATCAATTTTTCTTTCTTTTTGCTTAGAATTTGACCTAATACTAAGCTATTATTCATTAATTAATTGTCAGAAATACACTGCAGACTTCAGTCTATTGGCTGAAAAGCACTGAGCTGGGATAAGAGAACAGGAAAGAGTAAAACACTGTGGAGCTTGGGAGGCAGATAGTGCATTAATTATTTATTGCTGCATAACAAACTATCCCAAAATGTAGAAGTTTATAACAGTACATACTTAATATTTTCTCACATTTCCTGTGGGTCCGTAATAAGCAGGCTTAGCTGGGTCCTCAGCTTCTAGGTCTCTCACAAGGCTACAGTCAGGTTGGGGTCATCTCAGATGTCAGTAGGGTAGGATTCACTTCCAAGCTTTTTGGTGCATGGTAATATTCAGTTCATCCAGGATTGGTGGGCCTCGGGCCTGGGTCCTTGCAGGCTGTTGGTTGGAGGCCACCCTTAGTTCCTGGCCATTTGGGCCTCCCCAACGTGGCAGCTTGTTTCATCAAACCTAGCAAAAGAGAGTCTGCTTGCAAGATAGAAGACAGTCTTTTGTCTTCTTGGCAATCATGGAAGTGGCATCTTGTCATTTATAAAATTTTACTTTTAAAATTACAATACAGTACAGTAAACTATTCTCTCACTTTCGTTATATGCTATCAGAGCATAAGAGGCAAGTCACTAAGTTCAGCCTACACTCAAGGATTGCACATGGATGTGAACCAGGAGACGTGGAAGGTCATCTTAGAAGTCTATCTACCATGGATATTAAATAATTCACAATTATTTAACTTCAATTTTGAAAAGCATTTGAGGAAAGAAGTGCTAGTGTTCCGTATAATTGGGTGTAAAAATGACTAGAGTCAAGAAAGGGCTTTATTGAAGATTCGTTTGCGCTGAGTGTTAAAGGATGAGCAAGATTTAAATAGGGGAAGAAAAGAGTTGGGGGAAATTACATTTTAAGACCCTGAAGCAGGAGAGCACCAGAAAATCAGAGACTGGATGAGCCTTAAGAGACTTGGCAGGTCCACATCCTGTATAGCTTTATGGGCATTGGACTATCCTAACAGCTATCCTAAGATTCACCCAAAATGCATGTGATTTTAGGGACTCAACATCAAGTACTTACGGCCCATCTTCGATGTGCTTAGCACTCTGCCAAGGGATGACACACTTCCATTTCTCAAGGAGTATCATCTATTGATAGAATAAATTGGACATATGTGACACCCACACATGAAACAATAAGCAACCTGAAATATAGAACAATTAGTGTGATGAATATAATAGTAGTGATGTAAAGTATAAAGTTGTGTGCTGCAAATATAGAATGGCATATAAAGAGCTAATTATTTAATACACAGTGCTCATTCTGAGCACTTGGTATTTAAATCAGGGATTTGTAGTTTTTTTAAGTTTCAGCTTTGTTGAGGTTTTTTGGGGGGGAGGGTTGGAGAGATTCATGTAATTTAATATGAGTGTTGCTTAAGTGTCTGTTATGTTCTGGACACTGAAGCAGAGGTAGTTCTGCCTCGAATGTAAGGTAATAAATTGCACGAGGGTAATGTAATGCATCAGATCTAAGGTATTTAAAAGTGAGACTTGTAACAATTTCAAGAAGGAAGGGGAGATTGCAGCAGGTAGGGCTAATCCAGGAAGGTGTCTTAAAAGCATGTGATTTGGGACTTTAAGAAGGATTATGTTGACAGAGCACAGAAGGAAGAATTTGTTCACCACAGAAAAGGTGGGTACCGCTTGCAGGGAGGAGTGAGTGGACCTTGATTTCAATGCCAGATTGATGAGTGTTTGCTAGTTTTTGTCATAAGACTTTAAGCCTTAATTACCAATCACCTGTCTCATCTTTTCTTACTATCTTTTATCAGCGAAGCTATTAAATGCCTCACAGAAGCTCTTCAGTCTGTCAGTGAAGTAGAGCTGGAAGATGCACTGGAAAAAATCATTGATGCCATTGAAAAGCAACCCTGTAAGTAACATTCTGATAGCTCTTAAATTGTTAATATACTTCTACCACCTCAACTAGACTTATAGATTTAAGTGGAAGTTGAGGATTCAATATTTTTTAAGACTATTTATTTATTTGTTTTTAGAGAGAGGGAAAGGGAGGGAGAAAGAGAGGGAAGGAAACATCGATTGGTTTCCCTCTCGCACACACTCTGGCCTGGGACCGAACCACAATGCAGGCATGCACCCTGACCTGGAATGGAACTGTGACCTTTCTCTTGCGGGATGACACCCAACCAACCAAGCCACACCTGTCAGGCCGACGATTCAGTGCTAAGATGTCCCAGCCTTATGGGACATACCCCTGGTAGCACTTCTTTCCAAGGGGTAACTTCTAGTTCCTTTGGAACCTCAGAGACCCTTTTACAGTTCTTCCGCCTCATGGAGCTGTCACTGTCACATTTCTGCACTTACCTTCTGATGTTGATCTGGTCCTTTGTGGTCACTTTTGCATGCCTTATGGTCTTGCTGCATGCCTATAACTTTGTCTTACTTAGGTACCCCTAAAAGGTGGGGTGAGGGAGTAAGTGAGCAGGGATAATTCCCTTCTTGCTTTAGCCTTTCTTTGGGGATCTTTTTGTTAAATATTTAGCTTTGCCACAATTTGGGGCCTACAAAGGAGGGATACTCTTCCACCAAAAAAAGAAGGGTCTATTGTTTTTAGAGCACTGAAGGAGAGAACTGGGTTCAGCTTGCTCTCTTATGGTGGATAGATGTCAGTTTCTTCAAATATATAGAAAGAAACTTGTTCTATGATATAGGAAAAATTACTGTTATATCTCATGTTCACTTCTAAAGGCAGAATTTAAATGTAACTTTGCTTTCAAAAATTTCTTTATACTTGAAAATTAGTATTTGTAAAATTAAGATGGCGCATGGTATTTTGCCTGAGAACATACCAAAGCGGTTAAGGGTGCCCAGTCTGGAATTAGGCTTGGTTTTGTGTTGCTCTTCAGTCCTTCTGGCTATGTTCTTGATCAGGTTGTCAGCCTCTCAAAGTTGTACTGTCCCCATCTGTAAGATTTGGGCATATGAACATAAATCATAGAATGTCTCTGTAATGGGAGAATGCTTGTAAAGTACGGAGCATTGTGCCGCACACACATTTACTAAGGGCTTAATAGGTGGTAGCTGTTACTGTTGTTGTTACGATCATGGCTACTGAAACATAGCACTTATGATAAAAAGTTATACTAATGCGAACTTATTAAACGTAGGAGCTTACAATGTTATTAAACAGTTATTTAGAATAGTAGGGCACTTGACTGTATTAAGGTACTACAAGTGTATCTGAGTGTGGAAAGTGAAGGTATTTGATGTGTGGCTTTTGTTAATGTTCTGATCTAATATTTTTTCCTCCTAAAAACTATGTAATGAGAACCTCCAGGTGTGCCTGCAGATTATCTGTAGGGAAAAAGCTATCTGTGGGAAGAACTAATTTTTACACTTGTTTTTAAAATTTGACTTTGAAATTCTCTTTTCAGTGTCATCCAACATGATTGAACGGTGTGCAGTGGAAGCCGCAGTCCAGGAATGCAGTCAGTCGGTAGATGAAACCATGTACGTGGAAAAAATGAACTTTCTCCTCATGACAGACATGTTATTGGATGCTTATTTTAAATTATTTTCATGGGGAAATTAATTAGTGGTCAACATTTCTATAGTGGTTATTTCCTAGTGTTTCCTTTAAAGTGATAACCTGCATTATAAACCTCATTATCAAATGACTCATCTTTACTGTTTTTTCCTACGATTTCAGTTAATCGTGTAGTTTATACCATGACTACTTTTTACCTTTTACCCAACATTATATTCTGTAGGTTATAAATGAATTGAACTGAATATTCAGAAATATAATTGTCTTTTGCTCTGAGGAAAGTGCTGAGCCCAGAGAAGTTCAGAGGCTTAACTTGGATCATGTGGTGAATGGCAAATGAGGTAGAACCTCAGTTTTGTGACTTTCCCCCATTTTGTGCTATTAGAGCTTAGGAGTTTACATGGCAAACATTTTCCTGGGTTTTATTTCTCTAAATGTCATCCTTTCCTCCTTTTTGAATATAAAAATTCCTTTATAGTTGAAATTTAGAAAATTCATATTTGTCAAATTAAGATGGCACATGCTATTTTGCTTCTTTGCAAATTCACAAGGTTTAACTGGGAGAAAAACATCTGAGAAAGTTTTTTCCTATTTGGGGCATTGGAGGTAATTGAAAGGAGTCATTACTATCATATTGGTCCGTAGTTTTAGTTCTGTGTCAGAACTGACAGCTGCCAAAACAATAGAGAAAGTGTGTAGTTTTAACTTTATCATTGAAAACTCAGTATTTAAGATACGAGAGTGCAGTGATATGCCCTTGAAGCCATCAACAAAAATTCAAAATGATTGTATCAAACTGTAAAGATGATAATCATAAAGTAGGCATTAAAGTTAAAACTAGTTGATTCTGTTTAGCTATTGGTATTTAATTATATGTTCCAGTCAGCCAATGTAGAGGTCCAGTAGAAACTGAATGGTAAACAATCTTTACACCTTCAATTGTCAGATACTCATGTTATAGCATTAGAGAGACTCTCATTTGTATAGATGAAAAAATGCCATAATGAGTTCAATAACTTCCAGTATTGATCCACTAGAAAATGGTGTGGACGTATATGCATTCTCAGCTTTCCTTAAGTCCGGGATTCTCTACTGTTCTATACTTAGTGCTACCACCAGGGTAGCAGAATATTTTTGACCATTTTCAGTTTCGAAGATAAACAGATATAATTTTATGGAAGTTTTTTTGTTGTTGTTGCTGGAATATTTATGCTAGTGCTGTGAATTTTTTTAAACCTCTTTCAAACATGGTTATGTTGTTAACAGTATCTGAAAGTAAAATTATTTTGTTGAGTTTCCTTCTTTAATTGTAACGGTCAAGGATGTGACCAAAATTTTGGGGGTTCTTTTTCTATTTTACATCTTTTTCTGGGACATTTTTGCATAATATTTTGGAATAAAAAATTGTTTAGAATTGATCATATTCTTTAATAATATTGTAGTTCATAAAAGTACTATACATAGGAAGAGATTTTTTCAAATATGACTTTTTATATATAAATGTTCTTTTTCAACACATGACATTCTTCATTAGAAGTTAACTTGACTATTTTTTGTTTGCTTGAAATATTGGTAATGCTTTCCTGTTTTGAGAGAGGAAAGTACGCAAACTAAAGCTTTGACTCCCTTATTATTTTTGACACTATAAGAAATTGTGTATTTGACTTATAAAAAAAAGTATGCATGAGTGACATAAGATTATAATGCAAGTTTTTCATCTAGAATACTTATGTTTTAGTAAATCAGACCTCTGTTTTTGTGGGATGTTTTTCAGAGAACATATTTTCAATATCATAGGAGCATTTGATATTCCACGCTTTGTGTACAATTCAGAAAGGAAAAAATTTCTCCCGTAAGTATTCCATATATTGATTTTAAGCTAATTTCCAAGTATACATTTTTTTCAGAAGGTATGTAGTCTTATGTTTCATTTTTATTCTACCTTTGTGTATTCTGATAGTCGTAAATAGATATTCCTTTTTTTCTAGTCTATTAATGACCAACCACCCTGCACCAAATTTATTTGGAACAGCAAGAGATAAAGCAGAGCTGTTTCGTGAACGTTATACCATTTTGCACCAGGTAAATTGTGGGGGAGGGAAGGAAGAGACCGTTTCCACTTAGGTAAGAGTTGGGGATAGTTAGAGTATGAAATTTTATAGTCTACAGTTTGTCATTCCATAGACTGTCATTGCGCTCTCTGTTTGATGTAAGAGATACAGAAATAAAAAAGATTCTTTCCCCTCAGAAATTATTTTAATGATAAAAATAGTAGCTGATATTTATTACATGCTTTTGATATGCCAAGCATTGTTTATCACTTTATGGACATTATTTACCTTATTTAATCATCACAATATCAATGTGTGTATAAATGCTATTATTCCTATTTTACAGATGAGGAAACTGAGATCTAGAGAAGTTTAGTAACTTGCCCAAAGATCATATCTAGTAAGTAGAGACAGGGTTTTAATCTAGCCTGTCTGACTCTGAAGCCCAGCCTTTGCCTGCTACTCTAGACTACCTTCAGGCAGCTTATCATCTATGAAGTTAAAGACATTTGCACAAATAAAATATAAAGTAGAATTTTATACATGCTATATAAGAGATACAAACAATTCATTCAATGGAAAAGTCAGGGAAGTCTTCAAGGAGATGATGGCACTTGACATGGGCGTTGATTCCTTTGCTCTTATGACAGTGGGGAGAATGTGGTGTGAACACAGACACAGCAAAAGGAAAAAAATGGACTCTGTCCAGGATATAATGAACAATCCTCCTCAAACATTCTTGTTACTGTTAACATATTACCATTATTCTGCTGTTGTACTCATTCACATTCAAAACCTTAACTATCTTTCAGTCTTCACTCTCCCTCTTCTCCTTCACATCCAGCAAGTCACCATGAACTTTGTGTGGAGAGGAAGGATCATGAAGAAGAGCATTCCATGATAACTTGGAAAAGCAAGTGGGAGCGAAATTGTGGGTGTGCCTTGGATGGCATTCTTCAGAGTTAGGACTCTGTTCTCTTGGTACAAGGAGCCTTGGAATACCAGAGAGACTCAAACACAGCTAGGGTTTGTTTTTTTTTTATAGGCTTCTTCTACCAGAAAATTTTAGGGTGCATTAGAGTGTGAGAGAAGATTCACAAAAGTCCGTGGTATTAGTCCTGGCATAAATGATAGACAGGAAGAAGGAAATGGCAAGTGAAGTAGACAAAGGGGACAGCACTGGAGCAGTGGAAGCCATAGTTCATGGTGACTTGCTGGATGTGAAGGAGAAGGGGGAGAGTGAAGACTGAAAGATAGTTAAGGTTTTGAATGTGAATGAGTACAACAGCAGAATAATGGTAATATGTTAACAGTAACAAGAATGTTTGAGGAGGATGGTGATAGGCTCTGTTTAAAACATTTGAATTAAGTTTATAGTAGGGTATCAGGCAAAAGATTTGCCTGGACCAAAGAAATCCTTCTTTGTAGAGAGAAATTTAGGGTGCATCTGCCTGAAGTAATAGATGGAAGTATTTAGGGATGGGATCCTGCGAGAAGGATGCTATAGAACACGGAAGAGGACAGAATTTGGAGGCAATGCTAGGATGGTATTATATGGCAGAAACAAAAAGGTTCAAGGAGGAAAGGATTGGCAACAGGCATAAGCAATGAAAAGGTTGAAGAGAATGAGCCCTGGGATATCTGTTCTGTCCTTCCATCGCCTGCATAATGCTGCCAGGTTGACCTTCCTGAGATGGAGCTCTGATGATATCAGAGCTGACTTTGCACAGAATTCTTTCCAGGAAATCTACTGCCTATTGAGTTAAATACAAATTATATTTAATATTTGAGATGTCACACATTTTGGGCCTAATCTCTACTTTTCCTCTAATTAAACCATGCTGGAGCCAAAACTGAAGTTTGGAATTATTGGTTGGTTGTTTATTCTACTGTTCTGCAACTTTGCTTAGACTATTTACTATAGACAGCTCTTCCCTCTTATCTCTATTGTTGAAACCCTCCTAATTCTGGAATTCTCTTCTCATATTCTTCTTCTTTTCTGAGGCCCTTCTTGATCTCCAGTTTATTGCAAACTCTTCCTGCTTTAAACCACTGACTATTCATAGTTCCCCTACGTCACTTAATAGAGTTGGCCCTGCCTTGCACTGAAGGTGCTTATCCCTGTTATTAACTGCAGGCTCTTTGTTTCCTCTACCCCATTTGGCGCAGTGCTTTTCAAAGAAGATGCTCAGTAAATATCACATTTCTCTTTCTTTTTAAAAATTATGTTTTAAAGCCTATTATATTATTTTGTGTATTACTTAACCCCTGAGCCTCATTTTTCTTATCTGTGAAATAAAAGGGTTTCATTTTATTTTAGTCCACTCATATTTTCATCACAGTTGTCTTCTTGAAAGAAACTTGATTTTATTGCTATTCCACTTCAAAAATCTTTGTTTTCCATTGTCTATAAGACAAACTTGTTTGCTTGGCATGCAAAGTCTGTGCTGTCAGGGCCCTTTTATGGGAGGTTACAGAAACTCAAATTGACTGAAACAGAGAGAAGTCTGGAAGTCCACCTGTTTCATTCATGGGTTGATCCAGGTCCCCGCACAGCATCATGAGACATCTACCTCTTTCCATCTCCCAGCAACTTTAAAATTCATTTCACTTTCTAACAAGTTCTGAGGTGACAGAGATGGCCACTAATAACGTTAGCAACAGTTTCTTATTGGCCCAGCTCGAGGCCCTTGCTCAATCCTGAACCAATCACTGACCAAAGAGATGGAGTACTTTGATTCATTAAGCCTTGGTGGCCTGTCTCTAGAAGGCGGAAGGGGTACCAACTCTACCTAAACTGTATGGACCCACAGTGGGGTAGAGAGGGTTTCCCAAACAGAGACTCCAGCTTATCTCTTGCCTTGTCTGACATACTGCCTCACACAACCCATGCTCTAACTGTATTAAACTTTGCAACAGTTCCTAAATACTCTTTTACTCTTACAATTCTTTCTTGTGACCCATCCCTTCCTCTGCCCAAAGTGTCTTGTCTCAGCCTTCTTTTGCTTCCTACTAGCAAAGTCTTTTTTATCATTTAGAATCTCGTTAAATAGCCCCTTCTGCCAAGGCTCCATTTTTTTGTATTGTGACCTGTCGAGTACTCTCTCTCACTGGCCCCCAACCTCTGTGGATGACAGCTTAGTTTGTTGTTGTCCTCTCCTTAGGCCAGAGTGTGCTGCTGCCAGGTACACAAGAGACTGTTAAAATTTTTAAAATTTACTTTTATTTTTAAAATCATATTTCTATATGTCTACATTCAGTTATGTGGATTTTTAAATTTGTTGGGAATAGATAAAAGGAACATTAAGGACAGTGTTTTATTTGGGTACTATTTTAATGAATCTTAGTGTTAAATATCTGTTTCAGTAATTCATGTAAATCTTCCTTTCTTATAGAGGACGCACAGACATGAATTGTTTACTCCTCCAGTGATAGGTTCTCACCCTGATGAAAGTGGAAGCAAATTCCAGGTTAGAACATTATTCTAGTTATTTAGGGGCTGTAAGTATACAAGTTTAATATTTATTGCTTATTCTAATTTATTGAATTTTAAATGAAAATGGACCACTAGTAACTGTTTAACTAGCTGACTGTTGACAAAGTCTCTGCCCTGTGTCCTGGGTCCTACAAATCTCTAATAAAAGGCAACAATTTCCTTCTCTGGGCCAGACCCTGAGACTGTGGTAACCCCCAGATGGACTCTGGCCACAAGACAGATCCCTGGTTGTCCTGGTCCATTTGCTATGTTCTGTATTGGCTTTCTGTCCTACTCTCAACATTACCCTTCACCCACTCTCTTATCCAAAATACTGGTCCTTGTGCAGCCCATCCCTCCAGTGGCCACCACACACTTCCAACTAAAATGGATTATATCATTGGAGTGATAACTTTATATGGGCACTAAAGAAATAACATTCATGGAATGAATGAGGGAGCACAGAAAGGCCACAGGGCTGTTGGGACCCAAGGAGCAGGGGTGAGGAAGAATTTCTTTCATGTGTGCACCTTCCATTTTTATACACTTAACACCTCGGAAACTGATTACCAGCCAGCACTGTCACTTTTGTTCCAGCAAGGCACTTAATCACTGTGAGTCCACCTGTGGCTCTATTCCCCTCTCCAGCACACAGCACCCACTGGGGGATAGTCCTTAGCTACTTGTGTCTAGGCCCCACTATTTCTGCAAGGTTCCAAACAGATTCTGAAGAGGCCCAGTCTCTTCTAAGGTTCAGATTCTCTACCAGGTTAGATCAGAAATCATGATGATGAGTAATCTGATAGACACTAAAATGATAATATCAGATAATGCTCAAAGTAATGTTTGATGACACCATAAGGACAAGACATTTATAGTATTTGATAGTTTCTGCTTTTAACTTCTACTAAGAGAAAAAAATACAATATGTTTTAGAAATTATATTTCTCCATTATATATATATTAGGTTTCCTATAGCAACTTAGATACCCATAGCATGGAAGCAGTATTTCTCCTTTCTTTGCCAAAGTAACTTTAAGGCTTAACTAAGTAATTTATTCTTTTCAATCTTTCCAAGCTGTTTAATTCTGTATCCCTGATGGTATGCTCCCTATTTGAACTGCAACATATAGTACCTATATGATGACCTCCCTTTATGGGCTGCAAAAGTGGTATCCTTGAAAATCCTTCCTTGTAACTTTGTACTCCTGTGTTGCTTGATTGATGGATTGATTTTATGTGAATTTCAGTATTTTCCCCAGTCTTTAAGTTGTATTTTTATTCTCTTGTCTTTTTGAAGAACCTAAGTTCTTAATTTTGTTGAAGTCCAACTAATAATTTTTTTTATTGGATAATATTTTGGCATTTGGATATCCAAAATATTGGATATTTTGGCATTTATTTTTAAGAAATCTTTACATAACCCAGTTTTTAGGATACAGGTCTGGTATATTTTTTCCTTCAGATTTATTGCTAAGTATTTCATTTTTCAAAAAACTTTTTAAAAAAGATTTTATTTATTTTTTGAGAGGGAGGGAAAAACATCAATGTGTGGTTGCAATTTGCATGCTCCTTGCTGGGGACCTGGCCTGCAACCCAGGCATGTGCCCTACTCTGGGAATCGATGGGTGACCCTTTGGTTTGCAGGCTGTCGCTCAGTCCACTGAGCCACACCAACTAGGACTCACTTTTAAAAAAACTTTTAAATGTACATTAAACTCCTGTGTTGCTTTAGGTTCATGTTTTTAAAGAGGAACTCCAATATGAAATTTAACAGTTATTATGGGATGATGGGATTACACATGCCTTTATTCTGTATATTTAAAATTTCTCTCCTTTAGTAAACATCTATTCTTTGTAATACAAACTATTATGTGGTAAAGATGAAATAAGTTCTACCTGGTAATTTCTATAAAAATGAAAAATTATATACCCATTCATACAGCAATTCTGTTTAGCTTTTTGTAGGTTGCAATTATATTTTTAAGTTTTATTTGATTTTCTACTATAAAGTAGGTATAAACTGAAATGTGCACTCAAAATTTATTTGTAAAAAGATTAGTTTCTTAAAAGAATATATATTTTTAATTTTTATATCTCAATAATGAAAGAGAGAGAGACAGAGAGAAAAACAAAGATCTGTTGTTCCACTTATTGTTGCATTCATTGATGGATTCTTGTATTTGCCCTGACCAAGATTGAACCCATAACCTTAGTGTATCAGGATGATGTTTTAACCAATTGAGCTACCCAGCCAGGGTCAGAATATATATTTTTAATCTTTAAGGATTTATTTTGTTTTATTTTAGCTTAAAACAGTAGAAACCTTATTGGGCAGTACAACGAAAATTGGAGATGTAATTGTTCTTGGAATGATAACACAGTTAAAAGAGGTAAGTTAAATTTAGTAAGCATCAAATTTTGATGTGCACCCTTCAGACTGATGAAATGCCAGTTACATATAGTATTTCTACAGAGGGTAGAGGAGCATAGTCCTCATTGAAGGCTCTTACCTCAGTCACCAAGTAATCTTTTCATCTGTGTTTGCTTTCCTGGTAGACATCAGGAAGGAGTATCTTATGCCAGCCACCAGATTGCATAGTCTGAAATTAGTCCCCCATTGACCTCTGGCTGAACTGAGAGTACTGAATTTCTGAAAAAGCAAAGCTGCAGACCACATCCTGGTCCCTTGGAGACACTGTTGACCCTCTTAGGTAAAGCCACCCAGTGAGGTCCTTACGGCAGCCAGCAAGTGTCCTTCTTGCCATCTCTTGATCTTCAGTGGTCATTCTCTAGGTACTTAGGAATCTGAGTCTCAGTTAAGTGATTAGTCTGAAGTTACCAGACTAATAAGTAGAAAAGCCTGGACTAGGAATTGTTGATTTTTTGAAGTATATGATATTCTCTACTATATTGTGTTGTCAAAATTGTCAGTGCTTTAATTATTGTATCATAGTATTCATTTTTATGTAATAGTGGACTTATGTCTTTTAATTTGTTTTTAGGGAAAATTTTTTCTGGAAGATCCAACAGGAACAGTACAACTGGATCTTAGTAAATCTATATCCTTCACTTTTTTTTAAATCTGTGAATTAGGGAAATTGATTATATGTCATTGTCAAAGTTAGCTATTTGATTTACCAAGGTAACTTTCATATGGTGATGGTGTCAGAATTTAGAGATATAATCCTAAATAGAGACAAAAAACCTTTAATTCCCTCATATTTGGAGACTCCAGACAAATCATTGAGGGGATTTATAACATGCCAAGCATGATCTATACTGTCACTGTTACCAGGTTATATCCAAGAATCACATACATGGACATTTAAACATAACATTTTTAAAGGTATGATCTATTCACAGTTTCAAATGGGAAGTCTTGGAGTTCATCATTTAGAAGTACTGCCAGGCCCAAAATGTATGTTGACTTTATCACCACCTCAAGCATAGATATAAAATTATTTTCCTCAACTGTGTTTACCAGTTTCATAGTGGTTTATACACAGAGTCATGCTTTGTCTTAGCAGAAGGTAAGTCAGTCTAATTTTTTCCTGTCCTCATCATTCTACAGTAAAACCATTTCTACATTGGTTAAAATGTTAACATTGTATAATTGGGTGAACACGTTATGAGAGCATACTTTCGACAACTTTAAATAACTCTCAGACTGCTAATTGGCACAGGTTTCTTTTTAGGTTGATGAAAACATTTTGAAATCAGTGGTATTGTTTATACAAATTGTGATATATTTAAAAACCACTGAATTACATACTTTTAAAGGTGGATTGTATGACATGTGAATTATGTCTCAAAGTTGTAAAAACAGATTTTACATAGGGCTATAAAATGAAACATTTCCTCATCTGTGTACCTTATCTCTTTACTGACACATATACTGTGAGTAAAATGAAAAGTTTTAATTCTGAATCTATTTCTATTTCATGTTTCTTTAATTTTTTTTTAAAAAATAGAACTGAGATTGTCTCTGAATCTAAAGTTCTTCTCTAGCTCAGTGGGAATGGCAACTTCTGTAGTTAGTTGACAGGGGATGAGATCATAGCCTGGTGTCACTGCTGTGTGTTTTATACTTTTCTCCTTTCAAACAAGAAGGAGAATTGGACAAATGGGAATGATTTTTTTACTTACATTTTCTCAGGTTGGTTTGAAGATCAAGTGTTTCATGTCAATGCCTTTGGATTTCCACCCACTGAACCCTCTACTACTACTAGGTACAGACGTGTTTGACTTAAACTCTGCAGGAATTTTTGTAGTACTGGTAATAATGAATGTAAGATAGTATATCATATCTCAATTATTACAAGGCCTCAGGCTTTGTGGTAGAATGCAAAGAGCAATGGAAAATTGGAGTTAGAAGACTGGACATTATATGTAACTGAAAACTACTGGATTGATTCCAGATTAGTTGTAAAAGCATCTCTGTACTTTGGCCTTTAACTGGGAAAGATTTCCAATCGACCTATCTTACTAGTCTGTAGGGTTGATGAGATAAGAGATAAGAAAAGACTTAGGAGAAATTAATTGCCATGTTAATATAAAGTTCTTATTTTCGTATTCTACTGAGTGAAAATTACAAGAGGCAGATTCTGTAGCTCTTTAATATAGGTGAAAGTATCATAATATTAGAACTATTCCAAAAGGGCTTTCTCTGAGAGGAGTGCATTCCTGTCATTCAAGCTATTTGAGCAGAGGCTGAATGGTGGTATAAAAGTTGCAGCTGGTGGACTGTGGGTTGAATTTAGTCTACAGATCTTCCTTTTTCTTTCTTTCCCTCCCTCCCTCCCTTCTCTTCTTTCTTTCCCCTTTGAGGTGTTAAAACGCATTTTGAGTTAGTTCTAACACTTAAAAATAGATTTCTCATAACACTCTTTATTTCTGAGTTCTCTTGAACCATCAGTCTGGGGACATGGTGCCTGAATTCTCACCTGGCTCCAACCCTACTGCAGTGACCACTCACTTTGGACAGGTTATGTGTGTGCACCCCAGCTTATATCTAATCAGCCCCAGCCGGCAGCTGCTTTGATATCTGTGTTCCTTCCTGGAACCTGTAAGCGTTTGAGTTTGCCCTCTCTGGGAGAACTCAAGTTGCTTTCTAACTTGAGGTTCTAGTGTGAAGGGAAAGATTTCAACCCGTATAAGGATTAAGATTTTAGTTCTGCATACCTGTATCAGTTCACGTGCAGAGGTCATGTTTCCTGCTTGGGGGTCATGGGCAGAGCACCCTTTAAGGTACAGCTCCTCGTCCTTTGAAGTAACTTGGAGATGGTACTGGTGACACTAAGGAGAACACAAGCCCTCATCAAACCAGCTCACTTTTAAGGGACTGTTTCTAATACTAGTTTGTGGCTTTTTACTACGTGGTAGGTCTTCTTTGAAATATATTTCAATCAAAATTGCTGTCTTGTTGTTTTAGATTCAAAATTGCTATTTGGGAATGAGAGGTATAATTGAGGAAGCTGGCCTTGAGTATTACCATTGCTTCAGTTTAGCAAAAGATTGTCGCTATAATGTCCCAAATAATATTCAATTTAAATTATGCCATTTTCTGTAAATTGAACAATTTTGTATGTGTTTAGTACACCAAAGATTGGTATGAGGTATCATAAAATACATTAAAATAATCTTTTTATTCGTATTAGGATTATAAATTACTCTTCTCTTAAAATACCTTCCAAATAAAATTCAGAGGGCTGTATTCTGGTGGTAGTTAGTGGATTCAACAACAGATACTTTATTATTTTTTCATGTGTAAAATACTGTTTTAGGGATACAAATAAGTACAAATAAGTCTACAATATAGTCCTATCCCAAAGGGATTTACACTAACCTAATGACTTCCCACCATTGCACAGTTTATTGTATAGTTTTTTAGAATACAGATTTGTCAGAACTTCATTGCCGTCTTGATCAGTCTTTTACTGGTACAGGGCATGTGACTTGTGTTTTCTGAGTCCAAGGTGATGGTAGAATTTCCAGAATTTCTAAAATATTTGTTTCTTTTCAAATCTGACAACTTAGGAAAATGGGTACTGTCGGGCCTGTATTTGCACCTTATATTCCATGAACCATGGACAGAAGATGTTAGGGCTTTCTGAGCTTTAATTTCTAAAGAATCAGTTTAATAGGTATTTCTCTCTGTGATAGTCTGGTTTATGTTTGGGTATATACTTAATCGAAGTCACCACTCAATTGTATCAACTTACTGCATTCCTCTGATAACTGCAAGATTATTACTGTACGATCATACCTTTGAAAATGCCACATACAATTGGTGGCAACAAAAACAGATGCCCTGTCCAAGTGCTCACAATGTACTAAACCGTGAACCCTAAGAGCTAGTACCTAGTGAACCTCCAAGTTTTCACAATTCTGGGATATAAGTTAGCCTTTGTGGAATTCTTTAATTCCTTAGAAGAAATTTACAGAGGTGGAATTGTTTGATCAGATGGTTAGCACTCTTTTTGAGCACTTTGATTGGATATTGTTCAAGCTGAGTACCCATTTCTCTTTCACCTACACAGGAAATTATTTATTTTAGTATTTGCTTTAGTCAGTTTTAAAGGCACAAATATAGCCTATTAAGAATTTTATTTTCTATTCTTTATTGCTCCCTTTCTCATTTTAGAATGTTTAAGTAAACTTGTTTGCTACAAATAATACATTTTCACGGTACTATATACATTGATGGGGAGAAATCTTCATTAGATAGAAAGAAGCTTAATTTGTAAAATTATAAAAATATTTCCAAAAGAATATAGAAGATAATAATTATGTTATAATTACATAGGGCATACTATGGAAATATTAATTTTTTTGGAGGGCCTTCTAATACATCTGTGAAGACTTCTGCAAAACTAAAACAGCTAGAAGATGAGAATAAAGATGCCATGTTTGTGTTTATATCTGATGTTTGGTTAGACCAAGCAGAGGTATTGGACAAACTGCACACCATGTTCTCTGGTAGGTTTCATTTTTCAAAATTCTTTTTTGAACTATTATGAAGTGTCATGTTTTAAAAGTAAATTCTTTAAAAAATTTTTTTCAGTATTTTTTTAAATGTTGATTCAGCAGTGAGGTATTTTAAATGAGTTCACCTTAAAGACTTAAATTTTAACATTTGAAAAATAGCTGTATGTGTATATGTGTGTATGTATTCACAGTATGTAAGAATTAGTGTAAAAGTGGATAAGAGCTTGGACTGTGGAGTCTGACAGAACTGGGTTTAAATTGCAGCCTAATATCTAGGGCAGATTACTTAATCTCTCTCAGCTTCTAGAGATGCTGTGAGGATTAATCAACCCATTGCATGGCAAGGCACATATATAATAAGTGCTCGATGGATCCATTATTACTTTTAAATAATAAGTTATTAAAATATTATTTTTATTAACTCATGGTTAAAGGGTATTAAACCTGACTTCTAGACTAGAAAAGTAATGATCATATTTTTTCAGAATATTTTATTGATTAAGCCATTATAGCTTTCCCAATTTTTCCTCTGTTGCCCCCTCTGTCTGGTATCCAGCCCCTTCCCTCCAGCAATCCATTCCCCCTTAGTTCATGTAAACTGAGCATGCATGTAAGTTCTTTGGCTTCTCCATTTCCTATACTATTCTTAACCTCCCCCTGTTGATTTTGTACCTACCAATTATGCTTCTTATTCCCTTTACCTTTTTCTCCCTTCTTTTCCTTCCTCCTCCCAGCTGATAACCCTCCAAGTGATCTCCATGTCTATGATTCTGTTCCTGTTCTGGTTGTTTGCTTGGTTTGTTTTTGTTTTTTAGAATCAGTTGTTGATAGTTGTGATATACTGTTGTCATTTGAATGTTCACAGTTTTGATCTTTTTCTCTTTCTTAAATAAGTCCCTTTAACATTTCATGTAATAATGGCTTGGTGATGATGAATTCCTCTAGCTTTACCTTGTCTGGGAAGCACTTTATTTACTGGATAGAGCAATCTTGGTTGTAGGTCTTTGGTTATCATGACTTTGAATACTTCCTGCCGGTCCCTTCTAGCCTGCAAAGGTTTTTCTGAGAAATCAGCTGATAGTCTTATGGGAACTCCTTTGTAGGTAACTCTCCACTTTTCTCTTGCTGCTTTTAAGATCCTCTCTTTTTCTTTAACCTTTGTCATTTTAACTATGATCTGTCTTGGTGTGTTCCTCTTTGGGTCCACCTTGTTTGGGATTCTCTGCTTCGTGGACTTGTATGACTATTTCCTTCGCCAAATTAGGCAAGTTTTCTTTCATTATTTTTTCAAATAAGTTTTCCATTTCTTGCTCTTCCTTTTCTCCTTCTGGCATCTGTATGATTCAGATGTTGGCACTTTTGGAGATGTCCCAGAGTCTTCTTATACTCTCCTTGTTCCTTGTTCCTTCATTCTGTTCTGGTTGAATGTTTACTTCTTATGTTCTAAATCGGTGATATGAATCCTGGCTTCCTTCCCTTCACTGTTGGCTGTTGGTTCCCTTTGGATTTTTCTTTATTTCACATAGTGTAGCCTTCATTTCTTCCCTTATGTTTTTGCCATACTCAGTGATTTCTCTGAGAATCCTTATCACCAGTGTTTTGAACTCTGTATCTGTTAAATTAGCTATCTCCATCTCACTTAGCTGTTCTTCTAGGGTTTTGTTCTGTTCATTCATTTGGGTCATATTTCTTTGTCTTGCCAACTTGGCAGCCTCCCTGTGTTTGTTTCTATTTATTAGGTAGAGCTGCTTTGACTCCCTAAGTTAGAAGCAGAAGAGCCTTAGGTATTCACCAGAGCAGGACAACCCACTTCAACACTTTCTGGTGCTATGTGTGGGTAGGGAGGGGTGGGGTAGGGGAGAATGCTGCTGCCTAGCTTCTGAAAGCTTGCCTGGCACTCACCCCATTTCCAGTCACTTCACTTACTTCCTGTATGTGACTGATCCCCTTCTAGCTGCTTCCCTGATGATTCCCAGAGAGAGTGAGTTTGTGTATGTTCTAGGACTGTATGGGCCCTTTAAGCAGACTCTCCTGAGAAACCAGCAGTTTCTTCTGTTGCCCCAACCCCGAGTGGTTTCTACAGCCAGAAGTTGTGCAGCTTTATCTTCCCGATGCTGGAACTCTCAGCTGCCAGATCTGGCCTGGGGCCTGGATTGCTAGCTCCCCAGGGTATTCCTCCCAGTTTTTATCCACCACAAGTAAATGTGGGACCATCTGTTACGTTGCTGCTGCCCCCTCTCCATGCTCCTCCATGCCTCTCTGCCACAGCTCCGCATCTCTTCCCCTCCTACCCATCTGGATGAATAAGGCATCTTTAAATCCTTGGCTGTTGGACTTCTATACAGTTTGATTTCCTGGCAGTTCAGGGTGTTTTTTGTTTTGAGGTTTGTTGTGATTCTTCTTGTGGTTGTCCCAGGAGGCGAAGCATGTCTATGTACGCCTCCATCTTGATTGGAGGTCCAGTAATGATCATATTTATTCTCATATTTTTAGGTTATTCACCAGCACCTCCAACCTGCTTTATTCTATGTGGCAATTTTTCATCTGCACCATATGGAAAAAATCAAGTTCAAGCTTTGAAAGGTATTGAGGGACTATTGAATAAGTATTTCTACACTTATATAAACTAGTAAGAAATGATCTACATTTTAATTTTATTCAAGATATATAAGGTTATAACTAATGAAACATAATATGATTTTTATGTGGATTATATGCAAATTAAGTTTAATATCTCTTTAAAATTTTAGATTCCCTAAAAGCTTTGGGAGACATAATATGTGAATATCCCAGTATTCACCAAAGGTAATGATTTCTACTGCTATATTTTTTTATTTAAACAATTTTGTTTTAAAGAAACAAAAATTGAATTTCAAGCTTGATATCAGTGGTTATTAAGAAAGGAACAGAAGAAAAAGTTGAAGAATTTAGTACAGCCAAGAGATAAAATTATCCTCACATCATGATTATGTAACACAGTACTAGAGATTTATAGTGAAAAGCATTAAAAGGGCGAGTGACAATTTCAACCATAATTTGAATTTCTTGGTAATATTACTCTAAGTCTAGAGTTGTATTCTTCAATAGGATAGTCATTGGCCACATGTGTCTTTTTAAATTTAAAGTTAAATAAAATTTAGTGGCACTAGCCACAGGTAAAGCACTCAGTAATTGAACAGTGCAGATACAGAACATTCTCATCATTGCAAAACATCTACTGGACAGTAGTGGTCTAGACACTTTTAGCAGTTCATTTATTAAAATGCATGAATTTTTTAAAATATCTTAAATTTATTACTTAATTAAGGGGAATAAGCTGTTTATAGAAAATTAGATAGGGTTGTGAGATCTTTTTAAAAATGAATTATATTGATTTTTACTACAGTAGTCGTTTTGTGTTTGTACCTGGTCCAGAGGATCCTGGATTTGGTTCCATCTTACCAAGGTAAGTTTTATTCAGATTTTTGTACCAATAAAGAAAGTTTTGTAAAATTTAAAAATATATACTGTATCACATATATTGTTTTTATAGGCCTCCACTTGCTGAAAGCATTACTAGTGAATTCAAAAAAAGAGTACCATTTTCGGTTTTTACTACTAATCCTTGCAGGTAAATACTAGAATTTTATGTTTCTTTCATTTAAAAGTTAATTCTTAAAATTTATCTCTGAATCTTGACAGGAGATAAATATTTTATTTTAGGTTTCTCAAAACTTTGAAAATAATTTAACTGTATTTAAATAATTCACTAATAAGCCCTGGTTGATGTGGCCCAGTGGACTGAGTGCCAGCCTGTGAACTGAAGGGTTGCCAGTTCAGTCTCCAGTCAGGGCACATGCCTGGGTTGTGGGCCAGGTCCCCGGTAGGGGGGTGCTCGAGAGGCAACCACACATTGATGTGTATCTCCTTCTCTTTCTCCCTCCCTCCCCTTCTCTAAAAAGCAATCAATCAAGCAATCAATCAATCTTTAAATAAATAAATAATTTGCTAATAATGAATTTAGAAGCTTGACTAATGGAGATTTTAAAGTAGGTATTTTGGGGCCTGGCCAGGTAGCTCAGTTGGTTAGAGTGTCATCCCCATGTGCCATCCAGGTTCAAACTCTGGTCCAGGGCACATGCAAGAATCAACCAATGAATACAAAATGAAGTGGAACAACAAATTGATGTCTCTCTCTCTCTTCCCTCCTAGATTCCTCTCTCTAAAATCAATAAATACAAATTTTTTAAAAAAGAAAACATTCACATCACACATCTTTTAAGGAAAGTGACAGTGGCAGAATGAAAAGATTACACATTTACTGTATGTGCTGCTTACTGTGATTGTAGGTTTTTCTGAAGGTATACCCTTGGTCCTTGATTCTCCTTTTATGCCCACATCCACTTCTGCTGCGACCTTAGCCAGCCCCATGGCTTTAAATTCTGTTTATGTTTGACAACTCCCACATTTACATATCCGGCTCAAACCTTTCCCCAGTCTCTCCAGCCTCACATATCCAGTTGCCTACTCATCATTTCCCATTGGGTGTCTAATAGACAACCCAGACTGAACCTCTGATCTTCTTCCTCCTCTGTCAGCCCCCAACCTGTTCTGTAGTCTTCTTCATCAGAATTCATGGGACCTTTATTCTTTTAGTTGCTTAGGCCTAAAACTTTGGGATCTCTCTCACGTGCAGTTTTTCAGGAAGTCCTTCAAGGATTTTAAGGAAGTCTTCAAAATATATGTAGAATCTGGGTGCCTCTCCAAATCTCTATGTCTGTGACCTTCTATCATCTTCTAGCCTGGGTTACTATAATAGCCTCTTGGTTAGTCTCTAGCTTCCACCACTGCTCTTCTGTAAGCCTATTCTTAATACTGAGTCAGAGTAATTCTTTAAAATGTAAGGCCCCTTACTGATCCTGAAAGATGGGACCCCCCCTCATGTTATTCAATAATATCCAATACCCTTGCAATGGAAGTTAGAGCCCTGCTTGATATGCCTACTGTTTCCTCTCTGATCTCCTCTCCTACTTTTCCTCCTCATTTAGTCCAGTCACTACAATAGCTTTTTTATTTTGTTCCTCAGATGTGCCGGGCATGCTCCTCAGAGCCTCTTCTCTACCTGTACCTTCTGCCCAAAAGGTTCTTCCTTTATCTGCCTCTCTCACCTCCTTCAAGTCTGTCCTTAAATCAAACTTCATTATGAACCCTACCCATTCTGATTATCCTCTTTCATACTCCAGCCTTCTAGACCTTCTCTTCCCACAGAGGATCCCAGTTAACCTTTTTATTTTTCCCATACATGTAATCATCTTCCAACATACTACAGAAATATCATGTTTATTTTTTATTTTCTCTGACCATCCTTCTCTCATTAGAATGTAAACTGCATGAGGGCTGGGATCTTTCTGTGTTGGTTACTCATTCCTAGAGTAGTGCTGAACACATATGAAGACCTCAATGAATTACTGTTTAGTGAATGAATGAATAGATAAATTTTGGTTGAATTTTTGCTGTGGTGAACAATGGAAAGTGGGAATGGTTTTGTATTATAAAATATATTGCCTTTTAAATTACCTCATTTTTTTATAATGAAGTCAAATTCAACTACTGTTTTCATTTTAGAATTCAGTATTGTACACAAGAAATTATTGTCTTTCGTGAAGACTTAGTGAATAAAATGTGCAGAAACTGTGTCCGTTTTCCTAGTAGTAATTTGGATATTCCTAATCATGTAAGTTCAGAGTCTTCTTTATGAAACTATCTTACATGTTGCATTACATAAAATTTTCTTAAGCCACTTAATTATTCTCATGTTTATTTATGGTTCAGAATAATTTGAACATATTTTTGTCAGTAAGTTAATATTTGTTACTAAGTTAGTGTTTCTCATCTCTCACTGAAGTATCCCCTAATGAGCGGAGGAAAGCCCAGAACAAGCAGAAAATTACATTGAAGCTTCCTGTTTAGCTTTAAGCTCATAAATCTTATATTGTATTTTGAAATATATTTGTTTTAATAAAATATTCATGTTTAATAAATACTTCTTGTGATATGTCTGCACTTGGAGGATGTGTAGTGTTTATCTTATAGTGTCAAGGTTCCAAGATACATAATTATCAGTACCTTGTTACATGTACCCCCTTTACAGAAGTATGAAAATAGATCATACAGAGCATTTTCTGTATTTATTTAATAATATTTAAAGCTTATATAGACTAAATATCTATTCTTGGCATTACTCAAGCTATGGAATTATTTTTAGATGAACAGAATTGGTATGAGTTTATCATATAGCTGTAAGCATAGTTGCTCCAATATGACTATTGGGAGAGTAGCTTTTACAGAATATGATATTAAATGAAAACTAAATTTTTTCTAAACTACAGCATAGTTAATCTCATGTCATATCTGTGTTTCCCAAAGCTATGTGATTCAAAGTTCTCCTAATTGTTTCTCAAATTTCCTTATTCCTTTTGTAATTAATATTTAATTTGAAATTATTTGTTTTAACTTTTACAAATGAACTAAAGTTTGTTTTGTATCATTTTTTTAGTTTGTAAAGACTATCTTATCCCAAGGACACCTGACTCCTCTACCCCTCTATGTCTGCCCAGTGTACTGGGCTTATGATTTTGCTTTGAGGGTGTACCCTGTGCCTGATCTACTTGTCATCGCAGACAAATACGATCCTTTCACTTTGACCAATACCGAATGTCTCTGCATAAACCCTGTAAGAATGTAGTTAACATTAATTATACAGTCGTCGTTTGTCAAGATTAGAGTGTTACTTCTTTAAATTTAAGATATACATTTCATAAAATTACTGTTGGAATAAAAATAATACTGTTAATGAAACTGAGTTAATTGGATATATACAGAAAATTCTTAAACTTTTAGTATGATATGTGACTATAAAGTAATGTGACTTTTTCTTAAAAAAAAAATACCAAAGCTTATAAATCCAAGTGAATATTTTCCCCCTTCACAGTAACTTGTCTTGGGATTCCTTTCTGGGAATTGCTTTCAGACCCTGTGTCCATTCTTTTTAAACATATTAATGGTACTTGTCCTTTGAAGATGCTTTTGATTTTTAGAAATTGCCCAAGCCCGCCAAAATCTAAATCTGATAAATATGGAAATTCTCATTGGGACACATTTTACAGTTCACTTTTTATGCAGGACCTTGAAATTGCTTCAGAATATTGAACTTGCTTCAGAATTTCTACCAAAGTATGATTGGCTTTTTAAATTTAGGGAACGAATATTGCTTAAACATTGTTGTTGGTGTCAAAATGTCTTCACTAAAGGTTTTATACTCTTTGTGCTTCCTTGATTCTTGTGAATTTTAGACCTTAATACTTTTTCATTTCATCTAGATCATTTCTAGAAACATCGTAACTATCAGTTCTTCTAACACACACATATTATGTCTAGCTTCCTCTAAGACAGAGTCTCTCTACCACAGAACCATTGACGTTTTGGACCAAAACTTTTTTGTGGAGAACTGTGCTATGCGTTGTAAGGTGTTTAACAGAATCCCTGTCTTCTACCCACTGGATGCAAGTAGCAGCCCCCAAATGTAACAATCAAAAATATCTGAGGAGTCCTGGCTGGTATGGCTCAGGTGGATTGTGCACCAGCCTGTGAACCAGAAGGTCACCAGTTCAATTGCCAGTCAGGGCACATGCTTGGGTTGTGGGCTAGGTCCTTGGTTAAGGTCATGTGAGAGGCAACAGATCAATGTATCTCTCTCACATTAGTGTTTCTTTCCCTTTCTTTCTCCTTCCCTTCCTCTTCTCTAAAAAAAAGTAAAATGAATCTTTTTTAAAAAAATGTCTGAGGATAGTTGACAAATGTACCATGGGGGACAAAATTGTCTTTGAGAACTACTTGAAGGATTAGTATAGTCAACTGATTTGATTTTATTGTTTGAAATTTGTGGCTTGATTTTTGTAGTTGCTGTTCACATTCCAATATTCTTTCACAGTGAGGCTATATCCTTATTTAAATTGAACAGTTTGGGTATTCTCATAGTTAATGCTTTTTTTGAAAATATCTTATTTCTGATTTTTCCACCTTTTCATCTTGTAGGTGAGTAAATTACTTCCTACACCATCATTACATCTTCTTTACCTTATTTATACCTTTCGGGCCCAAGACCTATCTCTAATGTTGTTTCTTCCTCTCTTCATACTTATTCACATTAATGAATGCCTGCAATGAGCGAGGCATTGCCTTAGTACCAGGGACATGCACACTGAAGGGACGGAGTCTCTGCCCTAGAGTTTAGTGGTGCACATGGTTTTGTGTGTGTTCAGTGGCTTTGGTGGCATATTGTAGGGTCATCAAACCCAGATTTTCACTGGGGAGAGGGGCAGGAAAGGTTTCTTAAAGAAGTTTGTGTCTTCTATGCATCTTCAGCATTGCACAGTACTCCTTAGTTCTTATACTAAGTAGAACCCACTCTACTTATATTTCTAATCACATTTGCTACCATTGGTCTAGCCAACTGGAAAGACTTTTGCATCAAATGGAGATATTTTATAGTAATAACTTCTCTGTAAAGATCAAGCAAAAATCTGTCTCATCACTTCATAGTCACATATTGCAACTTTATTTTTAAAGTCATGGCCAAAAAATTTGATTTTAAAAATAGAAATTCTTCAATAAAAGTTGAGCATTTATTTACAGGTATTTTTCTCCCCAAAGGGTTCTTTTCCAAGAAGTGGATTTTCATTCAAAGTTTTTTATCCTTCCAATAAGACAGTAGAAGATAGGTAAGTGTGTCCACAGGAACAGAAGGAACTGTTTCTTGATGTTATATTGCTAAAGATTACATGTTCTGTAGGTGTGTTGAGGTTTTTAAAAATGTATGCAGTGACCCCTTCGCGGTGTTCTAGGCTGAAGTTACTGTTATCATGCTGTGTGACATAGAATTGTGTGTACTTGATGGCATGTTTGTGATGATGTAGATCAAGCACTGTTTTCTGAGGGAAATCTCAGACCAGCTATGGAGGTGGGCTAGTTCTCTCATAGGCTGACTCCTAATGGTTTTTGTTTTCTGAGAAGTCAGCCCTGTCCTCCACATGGTTGAGTCTCAAAACCTAGGTAATCTGCCTTAAATTGGCAGCAAAGAAGGAGGAAGGAGCTGGGTTCAAGTGTGGTGACAGGGAGATGTTGGGGTTGGGGGAAGGTCATGGAGGAAATAAGGAAATAATCACCTGGTGGGTGGTGGTTTTCAAAGAGTGATCTATAAATCACCTGCATCAGAATCCTCTGAGGTCCTTGTTAAAAAGGTTAAGTTCCAGGATCCCACCCCAGATTTAGCAAATGGCTCAGTTTCTAGTTCTAAGGCCCATAAATATGCATTTTGACTCTATATTCCTTGGATTCAGGTATCCTAACATGCAATGTCCATTAATCAAACATATTTTGAAAAAGCTTGCACTACTGCACTACCTATTAAGAACTAATAACCAGATAACTACCCTCCATTTTCTTGTTAGAGAATATAACATGAAACACAGCCCAGTTGTTTTTTTTTTTGTTATTAACAAATTAATTACAATAGAAATCCACACAATCACATGATAAAAATTTCAAATAATGCTTAAAAGTATACAGTTCAGAAGAATAATATGTTTCTTCTGCTTCCTTACCCTGAACCCATGATGAACAGTTTCTTATATATATTTCTTGAAAAAAAATTATGCATTATTCTTTCTGCTCAATTACTCAGGAAGGGTTGAAGTCCATTCCCTTTATGAGACAGTCTTGGATTCATCTATTTGACATATATTTGATTCTTTTTTCCTAATCCTTACCTGAGGATATTTTTATTGATTTTAGAGGGAGAGGAAGGGAGAGAACAAGAAACATTGATCAGTTGTCTTCTGTACATGCCCCAACCAGGGACAGAACCTACAACCCAGGTATGTGCCCTGACCAGGGATCGAACCTGCAACCTTTTGGTGCACAGGACGATGCTCCAACCAAATAGAGCCACCCGGTCAGCGCCATTTGATTCTTAATATATTACAGGCACTGCTTAGTTTTTAAATATACTCAGATATTCTCATAAAGGTCTTTAACCCATAAGCCTGACGTGTGTTTAGCTTTGCCTACCCCACTTTGAACCAAAATAAATAAATAAATAATTGATATAGGCCTTGGCTGGGTAGCACAATTGTTTAGAGTGTTGTCCTGATATGCCAAGATTGTGGGTTAAATCCCAGTTGTGGCACATACAAGAAATCAACCAATGAATGCATAAATGAGTGGAATAACAAACTGATGTTTCTCTCTCTCTCAAGTCAATTCAAATCAATGAATTAAAAAAAAAAATGATTTGGAATGCCTTTAGGTAAGGGAAGCCATCTATTCCAGTCTCACCACTTCTTGTCAACACCTGGATGCCTCTTGATTTTCTGACCCCAGAATTAAGTTTACTGCTGAGCACTATTTATCTGAAGCATATTTGTCCTTCTCACTGACTTTTACTGAATTGAAATTTGGTATAAAACTTGCTATGAAAACCAGTACTGGGACCTTTAAACAGGTCTCAGAACAAGAGAAATCTGTCTGTCCTAAGCAACTGTTTGGGTTTATCTTAGGGAGCCTGTAAATCTTCTAACAGACTCCTTTCCCTTTAACTGCTGGGAAGCACAGCCAAATGTGCAGCCCACCTCTGTAGCTGCAGAAGAATTACAAGCATAAAAGTTGGGTACAGCCCTAGCTTCATCTTTTCTGACCTATATTTTTGCCTTATCTAAGTTTCCTCATTTACTTATTTATCTTTTTATTACATCTATCTCTGCAAACCATTCTGTTTTTTAAAGAGTTGGGATATAAGCAAATAACCCACAAAAGGAAGTTAACTGATTTGTTATGACAGCACAAGACACTTAGGTTACATTTCTTGTAATGTTCCCTGATTGCCATGCAGAATTATTTTGTGTTCTATGTACTTCATACCGATTTTTCTGATAGTTCTTAACACTGTGTTAGAAGTTACTTGTGTGCCTGTCCCTCTTAACAGTTTCTAGCACAGTAGTACTTGATTTGTAGTTTGTTGAGTTGAAATAGTTGGTTCCCTTATCTTCTATGGACTCAGATATTGAAAGCCTTGCCATAATTTCCAGGCTATAGTTAGTATTGGTTGTTTGAGGAATCTTTTCAGCGCTGGATCAAACAAGTTGATAAATGTTTATTTTTGGGAGAATGAGAAATTTTCAAGATTTTATGGAATAATTTGGTCTTCCTGCTACTTAGTTTCTCCTAAGAAGAAATCTTTTGTTGGAATATTTGTGAAATCATATTGCAGAAGTAGTTGGTCAGGATAAAAAATGGTAAAAACATTTATGGAGGGCAATTTTACAAGATTTCTTAAGACCTAACCTGCATATAGCAGCAGTTCCATTTCTAGAAGTTTATCCTATAGGTATGCTTGGGCTTATACATAAAAATAGGTACAACTGTTTTTATTGTAGTTTTTATACCAGCAAAAACAAATGGTTTAAATGTATATCCATTTAAATATATATAGTATGAAAGTGGTTAAAAAATTATAATGTATTTATTACTGATTGAAAAAAGGGTATAGAAATGTTCATAGTATTCTACCACTTGTGTGTTTTTATAGCATCTACACCTACAAACACATGAATATATATGATTAAATGATCTTTATAAGGGTGTGCTTTATAAAGATATACAGTTGTTCCTAGGGAGCAGAAACAGTGTGAGACTGATGTATTTTTGCTATCACCTTTTCAATTGGAACAGTGTGCATGTATTTTTAAAATCAATTAACTATAAATAATAAGAAATGTACAATAACTTAGATTTCCAAAATGTTTCATTTAATGAATATTTTGTTTTCAGCAAACTTCAAGGTTTTTGAGATTCTTGAAGACCACCTGAAGAAACAAAATTCATCAAAATTTTGCCTAATTTTATATTTTATGTCATTTTGATATTAAGTTACAATAAAATTATGAGGAACTTTAGAATGTGGTTTAAATTTGTATTTTATGAAATTCTGATATTACAATAAACAAGATTGTATACCTTATACAGTTTTATAGGGAAAATATTTCCTAATCTCAAGAAAAATATGAAATATGTGTAAAGATGTAATTTGTATGTTTATACTTAAAAACTGAAGTCTGATTATTTCTGTACTAGTCATATGCTAATGTTCATTTTAAGAAAAACATTTAGAAGGCCTTCTGGTCAAGATGGAGGCACACAGGTGGATACTCTATACTTCCTCCTTCCTCACACAACCAAGAGAAGGACAACAACAAATTTAAAAACAAAAAAACAACTAGAACTGCCATAAAATTGAACGGTATGGAAGTCTGACAATGAAGGAATTAAAGAAAAAACATTCATCCAGACCAGCAGGACAGGTGGAGAGGACGTATGGCAAGGCAGCGGTTGGTGGACCAGGTAGTCCCACCGTCGTGTGCAGATAAACCAGAAGGAACAGCTGGGGAGTGAGAGAGACCATGCAACCCAGGGTTCCAGTGCAGGGAAACAAAGCCTCAAAACCTCTAGCTGTAAAAATCTGTGGGGGTGTGGTGGCGGGAGAAAGTCCCAGTCTTACAGGAGCATCTGTTTGAGGGACCTACAGGGTCCTAGAAAGTAACAAACCCACCCACCCGGGAATCAACACCAGAAGGGCCCAATTCACTTGTAGGTAGCAGGTGAAGTGACTGAAAGCTGGCCAAGAGCTGAGCAAGCAATACTGTTCCCTGCCTGACTCCTACCCCATATACTGCACCACAACATAGCAGAGTGGGTTGCTAGCCCTGGTGAATACCTAAGGCTCTGCCCCTTAGAACCTAACAGGTGCTCCAAATCAAAGAAATAATGGCCCAAATGAAAGAACAGATCAAAACTCCAGAAAAACACAAAGCGACAGATAGCCAATCTATCAGATGCAGAGTTCAAAATACTGGTAATCAGGATGCTTACAGAAATGATTGATTATGGATGCAAAATAGAGAAGTGAAGGCTATACAAAGTGAAATAAAGAAAAATATACAGGGAACCAACAGTGAAGGGAAGGAAACCAGAACTCAAATCAATGATTTGGAACAGAAGGAAGAAATAAACATTCAACTGGAACAGGATGAAAAAACAAGAAACAAAAAAATGAGGAGAGGCTGAGGAACCTCTGGGACAACTTTAAACTTAGCAACCTCCAAATCATAGGCATGCAAGAAGAGGAAGAGCAAGAAATTGAAAACATTTGAAAAAATAATGAAGGAAAACTTCCCCAATCTGGAGAAGGACATAGACTTCCAGGAAGTTCAGGAAGCTCACAGAGTCCCACAGAAGTTGGACCCAAGGAAGCACACACCAAGGCACATCATAATTACATTACCCAAGATTAAAGATAAGAGAAAATCTTAAAAACAGCACGAGAAAAGCAGAGTTACCTACAAAGGAGTTCCCATAAGACTATCAGGTGATTTCTCAAAAGAAACCTTCCAAGCAAGAAGGGGCTGGCAAGAAGTATTCAAAGTCAGGAAAGGCAAGGACCTACATCCAAGATTACTCCATCCAGCAAAGCTATCATTTAGAGTGGAAGGGCAGACAGTGTGCTTCCCAGATAAGGTCAAGTTAAAGGAGTTCATCATCACCAAGCCCTTATTATGTGATGTGTTAAAGGGACTTACCTAAGAAATAATGACCAAAGCTATGAATAGTAAAATGACAACAAACTCAACTATCAACAACTGAACCTAAAAAACAGAAACAAACTAAGGAAACAACTAGAACAGGAACAGAATCACAGAAATGTAGATCACATGGAGGGTTGTCAGCAGGGAGGGGGAGAGGGGAGAATGGGGAAAAAGGTATAGGGAATAAGAAGCATAATTGGTAGGTACAAAATAGGGGAAGGTTAAGAATAGTATAGGAAATGGATAAGCCAAAGCGACTCATGGACATGAACTAAGGTGGGTGGGAATGCTGTAGGGAATGAGGGTATGGAGCAGAGCGGGGGAAAGGGGAGAAAAAAATGGGACAACTGTAATTGTATAGTCAATAGAATATACTTTAAAAAAAAACATTAAAAATTTGAGTCATTATTTTAGTATAATTTAGGTTTTTAATCACTGTAAGTGTCCTAATGGTATATTTGACAATTTTCAACCTGTTTAATTGTCAAGTCACAAAATTTATTATGATAGTGAAAACCTTTGTTACAAGATATTACTTTGATGTTCAGTACACAATTATATTCTGGCATTGGAAATTTAATACACAGTCCCCATAGTTTTTACATTTAGAAGACATGTTTACTTTGAAGCAGCATGTTCTGCCATATTGGCTGTAATCACTCAACACCATTACTATATTTTCAGATTATGGTGTTGCAATAATAGCTCAGAAAAGAATCTGAATGACAGGAAGCTGGTAGAGAACAAGAGTGTTTCAAACCTTAATATTTAAAGAGCCTGGCATGGAAGACATTTATTTCCATGAAAATTAGCTTTTAGGGGGAAGGATTCTGATTTTTTAAAAAATGATATATTAATGGGAAAATTCCTTGAGAAAATTTAATGTGAACTGTGATAAGTGAATTAGTGATTAATGATGAAGTAGTAATTTGAGATGTTTGAGGATGGAAAATTTGGGGAGAATGTTAGAAGAAGCCTATTAGAAGAACACGATTTAAATTTAATTTCAAATATCCTGGGAAAATTGAAGTTAAAGATGAAATCAAGGCATACGTTCAAGAGCTACTAGACTGCTTGGGAAATTTTACATTTTGTACCTTGTAAGTGGTAGTGAAATGCATGTGGCAGTGTTTTGGTCCAGTTATGAGAACCATTGGCTTAAATGTGAAAGATGATGAATAGAAAGTTTTAAGTGGAAATTCGGTATAAAGTGTTCCCTCATTCATTTGATAATTATTTCCATAAAAAAAGATGAGCTTTTTGACGCTTTTTTAGGAACACAGTTAATGGGCAGAAAAAGTGTTATTTAGGGATTAGCAAGGTGATGTGAAATGAAGCAAGTTAATGAGCAGAGAAGTTACCAAAACCAGGCTGTAAGTATTAGAATAAGGTAAGACAGGAACTAGAACCAGGTGGGGATCAGCATCATCCAGAAATGAAAAGGAACCAGAGGTCTGAAAGATGGGGCAGTGTAGTAGCAGCAGCACAGAAAGGGTATTCTGGGCTTCTGCTTCGGGTGAAAACAGGTGGTGTGCTCCCTGACTCAGTGTTTAATCAGCAGATGCATGGCTGATTTACCACAGAAATCTGGCTAGGAGGCATTTGCCATCTGATGGTGTGCCTCAGAGCAGGGGCCAAGTAGATCACACAAGATGGGTATGGGTAAGATTTCTCTAAGAGAAAAGCAATACTTGATCCCTGTGTGGGGAAACCACAGGGCATGCCTGGACTGCAGAAACTGGCACACCCAGTTGCTTGTAAGTCTCAGACCATCAACTCTGGACCTCTACTGCATATATTTGTGGAAGGATAAGATAAAGCAGTTTGCACTAAGGGGTTAATATTCAGTCCATCTCCCTCAAAAGGCATTCGTTTTAATAAGGATAGCCTTTCCTCAAGGGATGAATTTTAGGCAAAAGATCATTTGCTTGGGGCATGGGAGCTTTTCTACATGTCCACATTTTTTTTCCAAGGAGCTGCTGGTTAAGCAACTGTCATGTAGTAAGAAATTTGGCGAGGTGGAGAGCATGGATTCTTCTTAGGGAATCTAATGAAAACTAAGGGCCCTCTACTCGGAAAAATCAGCATGAGCCTACCCCCACTTACAATTTCACATAAAATTTCAAAGGGCTCAGGAACTCTGAAGGCCATTCTCATTCCCAAACACGTGTGGTCTGTTGTCATCTATGTAGTGTGATGTGTTCATGTTTGGAAATGCCATTAAGAATTTTCCAGAAATGCCTGTCCAGAATTTTCCAGTTACAAAGGTAACAAAATAAGCAAAACCAATCATTGGGTGTGTTCAGTAAGACTGTTACAGGAGAAACTCGGTTCTTCTTGCCGATGCAGTAAAGAATTATAGATCAGCAAGCCTATTAGCTTGCAGGCAAAGTTTGTTAGTGCTAAGCTCTAACAGGAAAGCAAAAGCAAAGGTGGCAAGAGCAGGTGGCCAGAGGCCAGGTGGCGAGGGGCACCCCGTGTGGCAAAAAAGCCAAGAAAGCAAGTCTTTTGTTCTGAGGACTTAAATAGTTGGCAGGATGGGGGTGAAGAAGTTACATATTGATTGATGTTTAATGGTGGTGCCAACTTTCTCAGGGGGAAATGACTACCCAAACATAGGTACGTGTAGGGGTCTGCTAGCCCAAATCCTTATCTTGCTCCAAACTCCATTTGTTCATTTTGCATACATGACAGGAGGCAAGCAATTAACCAAAGATGTTTTATGGGGTTTTTCTTTGGGCACTATGGACTTTGTCCCCTTCCCCCTTCCTGGGCTTGGGATAAATACACAGTCTCAAGGTTTTCTTTTTCCCAGGTAGTGGAAATGATACACAGACTTTCAAGGGCTTTCCCCTTTTGCACTATCACAGTTTTGCTCATTGTTCAGAATGCCTGGCACCCTTACCCAACTGGGCGCAGGACTACTGGGTCAATGGGTGAGACATGTCTGCCTTTGTTTTTAGCCCCTATATTAATATCTTTGTTAGAGTGCAATGGTGAGGGCCCCTGCCTTTATTCTCCCTCTGGTCATTCATTCCTAGCTTCTATGTAACATTCCCCCCTGAAGTAATAGGAACCCAAATCTTTGGTGACTTTGGGCTCAGGACTGCTGGATCATTGGGTGTGACATGTTTTCCTCCTCCTCCCCGCCTTGGTTTGCTGTCTATCCTATCTAACAACATAAGGGTTGTAACAAAAAAAAGACACC